CCTCCATTAGGGCTAATTTGATGATAGCTGTTGGTGTCACACCCGCTCTCGCCCCTTGCTTTAGTAGGTTGCAAGATACTGAACAGCAGCACTACACATCATTCCAATTATCATACTTTTTTTTGCCTCCTTTTCATATTAAAAGGAGGCAAAAAAAAGTATAATAATTTTTTACTAGTTATATCGTTAGAGCTAGAACTCTAGCTTTAACATTTTGTCTAAAGGATTGGAATTTCAGATTTTGGGAGGTGTATTAGTATGTTTAGGTCTAGTAAACTTTGCAAGGAATTGGCCATGACTAGCAAGGGAGAATTTTTATCTGTTCCTAAATGATAAAACCAAAGAGAATGTGCATTTTTGTGTGAGTAGTAGCAGATTTTTAGATGCTAGTGCTATGGAGGAATTTTTCTAAGGCATGAATAGGAAGTATATACTCAATTCCTATCTGTGCCATTGACGTAGCTCCATTTTTTTAAAATAAAAAGGCAGGTATTTTTTCTGGAATTAAATATCTTCATGTTTTCTGTTAAATAAACCTTAAACTGTTGTTTTTCATAAGGAGGTATAACCTATCTATTTTCTGACTTAAATGATCAAATCTAAAATTTTAACAATTTAGATTTTAAATTTTGAAACTTTTAAATTTTTTAATGGAAACTATGAAGAAGGCAGCTACAGAAACAGCTATAGCACTGAATTTGTAATATTCTAGTTATATGTTTTTTCTCTTAACCTAGTAGCAGAAAAACTCTAATACATACATAATAAAAGAGTAGCTTTTTTCTTTAATATGCCTTATGTATAGAAAATGTGATAAATGGGTAGAAAACTTGTTAAGAATGCTTCCTTGCCAAACCAATGGTTTTTTGTGGGCTACAATACAGATACTGGGAGCTGATATTTACTTTTAGGGAAGTACCTGCCCACTTCTGTCAATTTTCCCTTCAAGAAAACATCTGGAAAAAATAATTATTTTTATGAAATGTTTTTGTTTCAGTTCCATAAGGTCATTGCAGCTTTCATTGTTATAAGGAAAAGTTGATGAAAGTGTATATGGCTTCTAAACTGTGTCTCAGTGTCCTGGGATGTGTAGCTCAGCACCTGGCTCTGCAAGCAGAAGTCTGCATCTGAAGTGCAGACATTAAGGTAGAAAAGACTGTCCTTATCCCACTGAGATTTTTGTCAGCCCATTTATTGAAAAAATATGCCTAAATTAAACATCCTGTTTTTCTTCATAACTAAGTTTTTAATCACTCTGGACTGACTTCTTTTTTGCTTGTATTTAATACTCCTATAAAAACTTGGTAAAAAAATTATGGCAGTGGGATCTGACTTTTTTGGCAGGTGTGCCACATATTAGCCCTACACCCTCTCCAGGTGCTACTCTGAAGCCCCTTCCTCTGCTTTCTGCAGCTGTGCTTTCTGTCCCATCTACAGCTGTGCCACACACAGAAGCTTCCCAGGGGGACTACAGTACTCTTCCTTTGAATGCCAATCCTGTATTCCATCTCAAGTTTTGATTTAGGGGTGAATTTAAATTGTACTTTTCTGAATTTCAGTTTATCTTCCTGACTTTTCTGGCAGGAGTGGGGCAAGCTCTGATACTTCCTGATATAAATAAAAGCTGTTAAAATGTATTTAAGTAGTGGTGTTTATAGGTATCTAAAAACTAGGGGTGCACTGATAAAGATTTTTTTGGCTGATACCAATGGCCAATTATTAACCAGCCATATCAGCTGATACCAATCCAATAGCCAATATGCAGCCTGGCAGCTTGGAGAGCAGCATCTGGCCAGTAAGTCTCTGGTGGGGAAGGGACATGGGGGTGGGGGGTCAGGTTGAGGACCCCATGGTGAGGGAGAGAGTGGGACAGGGGCAGATGCTGCCCAGCCAGAGTGGGGCAGGGCATGGGATGGAGCCATGGGCAGCTCGTCTGGGGGAGTGGGGAGAAGGGTCACCTCCTTACTGTTGCGCACACCCCTGGAGGTGGTATGGGGGCATGCGTCCCCCAGATTTGTGCATGGGGTGAGGGTATGCCCCAGGCTTGGGGTCAGAATCTGGGCCAGGGCTGCGCTTAGGGTGGGTGGGGGTGGTGCAAGTGGCAGCAGCACTGGGAGAGGGGGTGATGGCAACTTTTGGAGTGGCTGGTGCCCACTTATAGCTCCCCCTCCCAGCACTGTCCCCGCCCACCTTGAGCACAGCCCCAGCCCAGCCCCACCCCTCCAAGAAGAGGCCAGTGCAGCCCCTGGCTCCAAGCCCACAGCAGGCAGCCTGCCTTCACCCTGCCCACAGATCTGGGGGGCACATGCCTCCCCCAGAGGTGCATGCAGCAGTGGGAGGCAGCCCTGCCCCACACTCCCTGGACAAGCCTTCCACAGCTCCATCCTGCATCCTGCCCAGCCCTGGCTGGACAGCACCTGCCCCATTCCCTCCCTCCACATGGGGGCCTCGATCTGCCCCCTGTGCCCCTTCCCCCACAGACTTACTGGCTGGACACTGCTCTCCACGTTGCCTGGCTGTATTCCTGGCCATGTGCATGCTGCGGATGCACACGGCATTTGTCAGTGACATTATTGGCTACGCTGGCCAAAAAAATCCAATTGCCAATAATGTTAATTTTCCTTTTATTGGTACCAATCCGATATGGACCGATATCTCTACTAAATGCTGCTGGTGCACAGCTGTTTTTTTTCCATTTGATGCTAAGGTTCTAATTTAAAACTAAATTTTGGTCTTTTATAAATTTGAAATCTTACTGACTTGTGGGGCAACATAGATTTCAACAGATGAGTAGAGGACAGAATTTCACATTGACAAATATTGTAAACTGATGTGTCAGTATGAGAGGTTATTTAAATCCCTTTGGTTTGATGTAGATTGTCATGTGTGTCAAAGCATCTACTCGCTGTTGCAGAGTTTGTTCTGAAATGTAGTGTGGAAATATTGTTAATCCTTACCAGGGAACATTCTTTGTTCATATAAAACTTAAAAGATTAAAAAGTTTTGAGGTCCTTGTTTTAAGAAGCCTATGCTCTGACCTGTGTTTGAAAAAACTCCGATATTTTCCATGTTTCAGGGGTGTTAGCTATAGCCGTGTTGGTCTAAGGGCACAGGCAGACAAGGCTCTTTGGGTAAATGTGATATCTTTTATTCGACCAGATAGTTGGTCTAATAAAAGATATCACATTTACCCGAAGAGCCTTGTCTGAAAAAAATCCCACATTTACTCTGGGGAACCTTTTATTTTTGGCCAATACTGATGGCTTGCTTGTTTTCTTTTTGCATCCTCTAAAACTGCAATGATCAACTTTGCATATGTTTAGATTTTTTTATCAGTAAAAATGAGTTAATAAACATTAATTTTGGACTGATGATGAAGTAATGCTAGCTATTTTGTGAACAAAATGCATTATGTTTTGTAGCTGGCAGGGAAATACAATATGCAAATTCTTTATAGAATGATTTGTTTAGGGCTCCAGGCAAAAACAGTAGATCTCTTCAGGTATTGAAGAACTAACTATTCATTTTCCTGGTTCTATTTCTTTTGCTTTCTTCTTGATCAAAGGTTTAGCAACCTTTTAATTTTGGAAAAATAATGCTTTTCAAGAAGAATGTCTTCAACAGATTTGAATACATTATAATCTCATTTATTATGGTGATAGTAAAACAGCTTAAAATTCTGTGTGGCACAGAGTAGAAAGAAGCATGACACTTGTAACGTTTTACATTGTTATCAGTATCTGTTCTGTTTTAATAGCAATTTCACATCAGAGAACATTTGCTGTGTCAACATCTTGTTTAAATACAATAGGGTTTGTTCAGTTCGTTAAACATTAGTTTACCTGGGGACGCTGCTTAAATCAAGATTCTGATAGGCCTGCTGACCCTGATGTCAGTCTTGGCACAGCTCCCAGAGGTGCACAAATGGGATCTTTTTTGTTACCAGGTAAATGAAAACTCCTGAGAGATTTTGATGGGTTTTGTTGTGGATGAGAGTTTTTGAGGACAACAAAATATTTCGTTATCTTAATTTTAAAGAGTTTTCATTACCAACCAAACTGTATAACCCCTTTCAAGATGTTTTATCTGATAGCTGGGGATTTTTTGAGTGGTTAATCGTATTTCAAGGAGAATCTTAAATCAGCTTTTTAGTGGCTGCTTCAAGAATTAGGAGCTGATAAGAGAAAGTAGGAATTTTGATTTGTCCTTTTAGCTTTAAAAAGAATGAGGCCCTTAAGCAGCAGGAGGGAAAAGGATCCATTTAATCCAAGGAAACATCATTTTTCTTTTTAATGATTTTCTATACTTAAATTTTTCTTTTTGTTTTATAGGCTAACCTACTGAAGGAGTTTATAAAGCCCCCTAATGTATAACGTAAGAAAATACGTTCTGACGTGAAGTGGTAACAGTGGTATATGTTCTGCACACCAAGTGGCCTACAGCTTAACATCCTTGGCTCATATTTTGACTGATGCTGGGAGCTCAAAGGCAAAGTATACTTTGTCTGTCCTAGACTCAAGACATCTCTTGAGCCATAAGTGTCTCTTGTTTGACTATTTCCAGCATTAAGCAAAAATGTGCAGCTGTTGCAGCTGATGAGGTGACTGTATACATAGTACAACTATATTCTTTCTAATGCTCTTTATTTGGCACATTAGAAACATGAAATATGAAAACATGATATACACTAGCTTGGGCAAAACAGCTGCAGTAGATTCCAATGTGTATTCCAGTTGATGAAAATTTTAGTCAACCTGCAGTGTAGCAACCAACGAAAAGGTATATACATTGACATAATTTGATTGCTTCCAAACATGAGAGAGAAATATAAAATAGGCTTCACTGCATATGCATATCTTTATCACCTGGTATGCTTTATATGTTTCCTGGTATGCTCTATAGTTTCCTTTCAAAAGATGATGTAGTGTTACTAAATTATTAACTGTTACACATCAGTGTTTTGGACAGAATCCATTTTGTTACCAAAGCTTTTTCTGGAAACTCACTGTAGTTGTCTTTCTTTTTTTCAGTATTGGATGAATGAATATACCTCTTCCCTTGGCATTGGAGTCTTCCATTCAGGGATAGAGGTGTATGGTAGAGGTATGTATGTGTAGGAAACTTAGATATACTCTTTGTCTTAATTATTCTTTATCTCTACTGAAAAGCATTCTTCATGTATGTCATCAACGGGAGGGGAAATTCTGTCTGCCTCTTGTTTACCATTTTTATGTTCTTACCCTGAATCAGACCTTGAATGTCAGTCATATCAATATAATCACCTCAGTCAGCTTTGGTAGTTGCTATTTGGGTTTCTATATATTGCTTCTTGTTGAGGCTAGTACAGTCATACATTTCCTTAAGTCTTCCACCAGCATTAGACATTTTTCACATTTAGTGTGAATGGTAGAATATCACTTCTGTTCAAGATCACCTAAGATTACAGGCAAGAATATGTTAGGAATTGAAATGTGTGCATCAGTTTCTAATGGTGCTCTCTTTTTTGGATCCCAGTTAATAGGTTTGTATTTGATAATATAACCTTTAAAAAGATGCTTTGCTTTCTGCATAATTACATTTACAAAAATGTCCAAATTCCCTCTCTTTTGAAGACGGCACCTAAAGATTTTTGCTAAACAGGGAATAGTCCAAGGTGATGCATCTCCTTAAAAGAATCAAGCTGGTGTGCTTTTAAAAGTAACCCCTAAAAAGATTTTACTTTAATCTTCTCCTACTACATTAAAACAGCTTTGGAATAGATGTATAATTTCCAGTACATATTGTCCAAAGTAAAATGATAGATGTTACTAGGGTGTGGACACATGACCACCTCAGGAGTGTTAAAATTAGAGCAGTGCATTTGAATAATTCTCAGCTTGTTCACACACAACAATTAGAACTTGCCAGCTGCTGCCCTATTGAAAGATTCCCCTGAAGGGGCTCCAAGAGTTTGTGTCCTTGCCCTTAGCGAAACTTTCATTTTTGATAGTTTTGGGTAATCCAATTAAAATTTTGAATAACACATGAAAAATTAATTACCATACAAGTTTGAAGAGTTGATGGAAGATATAATACTGTATTTACTCATATCTAAGAAATGGATCCTGCCCCCCCCACCCCACCCCAAAGTAAGTGTGGGGCTTACCTTGGATTTGAGTGCTGGCCCAGGCCAGGCAACAGCTCAGTTCCAGCTTTGGCCTTGGGTTCAGCGCTGAAGCCAGAGCTGAATCCAATACCTGCCCTGAGCCAAAATGGCTTGCTTGGGAGGGGAGGGAGCTCGCAGCTGGGGGAGCATGGGGGAGACCTGGAGAGAGGGGGAAAATGGGGGTGATCCAGGTATGCGGCTTGGGGACTGTCAGGTAGATCATGCAGCCTGCCTCCCTCCCCTTACCTTCTGCTCTGGCTCTGGTCCCTCCAGCTCTGATCTGGCCCAGCCTGTCTGCGAGCTTCTGCCGCTTCTCCCTGGTCAGGCTGGGCTGGCCTGGGGCTCGGCCAGGGCTATCACTGCTGCTGACTGACCTGGAGGCAGAGCAGAGCTGCAGCAGAAAGTAAGCAGCTGGGGGAAAATGGAGGGGGGGGCAGTCAGGTACAGTAGGGCAGGTAGCAGGGGAGAGGCACAGAGGAGCAGGTGGCAGGTGCCCTGGGTGGGGGAGGGAGGTACAGACACAAAAGAACAAGGGGCAGGGGCTCTGGCCCCTCACCCCCACCCTCTCACTCCTGGGGGTGGGGGACGAATTTAAGACTACCTTCCACTAATTAGATTCTGTATATTGAAAATTGTAACACAGTTATAATTTTCCATGTATACAATCTCTAATTATTTGGGGTTATCTTAAATTTGAAGTTATCTTGGATTTGGGTAAATATGGTACTTATTACAACTTACTGCCCTAGTCTAGACACACCCCACGTTACTAAAAAATTATCCTGGTTAGATACATGGCTACCCATAATCTTGCATACAGAGCAGCATCACAAAGTATGTTTTCAGGAGTAAGCCCTAAAATGAATTCAAAGAGTGTTGTTTGTAAGTTAGTTTTTTAAATTGCTCATCAAGACATTATGCCTGTCCTGGACAGACCCAAGTCTTGTTTAACATGTGTTAGCTGGTTGTAGTCAGCCCTAGGCTAGGATGCAATATGAGTTTGCGTGGTTTTTATTTCCCCCACAGCATAATGCAAAGCTTTATGTAGTGGGTGTGGCATGCATACTCATCTCAAAGATACAAAAGGGAGTTTCATGTAAAGATGTGGAATCTTGAAGTGTGTGGTTGTTGTTTGCCTTAATTATCTATGTTCATGCCAGCAGATAATATGTTCAGCCTTTGGATTTGTTTGGGGTTTTTTTAAGCATAGAAAAAGGAAATTAAATATTATAGTAAGACAAAGAAACAAAGCCCACAAATAAAGAATTTCAAAAGCCTTGCCTGCTACAGTAATACCAAATGCCACATGACTTCTTTTGTATACGTTGCATATTAAAGCATGGATCATTTGAGTCCTCAGTTCTGCACATACTTAAAATTGAAGCATTTGTACCAGCATTGATGAGGTTGGGAAATAAATCATAACTTCTGCATGTCATGTTTTGTATAGTGATACAAGTTTAATATGAGCAAATTAATATTGATGTAGAAAGCTTGTTTTGTGGAAGTTCTCATTTTCTTTCCTTAGTCAAAATTGTCTACTTAAGCATTCACTGATAGCACTTTGTTTTAGTTCTTACAGTAGAATGTGTGGTTCCCCACTTACGATCCTAATGGCAAGTGGAAATTAACCATTGATTAGTTTAACACTACACATCTGGACTTGTGCTGCTATTATTAAATCCTGTATTTTCTCTTTCAGAATTTGCTTACGGTGGTCATCCTTACCCTTTTTCTGGCATATTTGAAATTTCTCCAGGAAATGCTGCCGAACTAGGAGAAACATTTAAATTTAAGTAAGGAAGATACTGCCCTCATGATTTTGACTAATATACTTTGTCTTGTACTAACTCTTAAGGTTTAGATAGATATAATAAAACCCCTGGATTTCGAACCATCTGGATTGTTCTCAACTTCCATCAGGGTCATGGAAAACAAGTAGGGAGGAAAGTTGCAAGACTCTGGGGAAAAAAATACAGTCTCCTTGTCATACACCCAAACTCTTTAAGGTTAAATATCCTGTTAGCCTCTCAAAACATACAATTAAATATACTAATTTTTGTTATCCATCAATACCTTTTCCCTTTCAGAGTAAATGTAAGGAAATTGTGAATAACTTTTACTTTGAATAAATGGTCACCAAGCTGAAAAGTTGAGAAATGCTACCCTTAGGGGCTTCTTGCATTTCTTCTTGATTGCTCTGTGTTCTTTCTCCAACACAACGCCTTTTTACTATATCTGAGCTGTCTCCTAGGAGACATATTGGCGTCAAAAAGTGCATCCACCCCCCAAAAAAGCTGAGTGGCAAAGACTGCAGTTCCACTTGATGAAGTAAGTTAGAGGATAATTGTGTGTGGAAGATGTAAGACTAGAACTTGCATGGGTGGGTTAGAAAGAGAGAGAAGAAGATAAAGAGAATAGAGGGGAAACCACACCAAACTTTAATGATGCAGAGTGTCTTAGTACACATAAGCAATAGGAGAAGAGTAGCTTCTCTGTGTCATAGATCATTCGTGCCTAACCTTTTTGCCGTGCAAGCCAGATGGACAGTGCCAGGTCCATCCAGAAGCCGGATCCAGCCAGTAGGCTTGACGGGCCTGGCAGGGGCCCCATCTAGCCACAGAGGGCTGGGTGGAGGGTATGCAGCCTGATCCTGATTTGCCTCCTGGTGAGGGGGAGCAGGGAGTGGCCTGACCCTGATCCAGATGGGGGAGAGGGTAGCCTGGCCCCAATCAGGATACACTGCAGCGGGCGGGGAGGGCAAAACACAGATTATTCCAGCCCTAACCCCAATGCAGACTTGAAGGGCTAGGGGACAGGGGGAGCAGCCTAGCCCTAACTGGATGCTTGGGGAGCAGGCATGATGCTGATCCTGCTATGTGGCAGTGGCCCAAGCTTGGCTGGATCCAGCCACGCAGTGCTTCCACTACTCTCCTAGTACCAAATTTTCCAACCCGTGGGGAACCCTGCAGGCCAGACGCCATGGATCTGTGGGCTGGATTTGGCCCATGGGCTGGAGGTTGAGCACCTGCCATAAGAATTGTCATCTTCTGATATCTTCGTTTGTTTTTAGAGAAGCAGTAGTTCTAGGCAGTACCGACTTCATGGAAGATGACATAGAAAAAATTGTGGATGAGCTTGGGAAAGAATTTAAAGGAAATGCCTACCATTTAATGCACAAAAACTGCAATCACTTTTCTTCAGCTTTATCTGAGGTAAACAAATGCGGACTTTAGTTTTTCTGTAAAACTGAATAGATGGACACCATTTTCTTGTCCTGCCGATTGTGTATATTTTATTTTTCACTTCATATTTTTCTGATACTTTAAGTAAATGCATTGCTTAGCGATTAGGGTTGTATCCAAAATTAGACTTTGGTGACCAACAGAACTCTAAACTAATGCTGTTAACATACTCCCCACATGGCTCTTTCCTTCTTAAAAGTAAGACAAAGCTCCTGTGGTGGAGACTGCATGCAACTTTATGACTGTTATGCAACTTTACAACAGATGTTGGGGTGCTGTGCTTTAATTTAAATAGTGTCACAGTTTACTAGTAATCTCTGTTCCAGAATAACGAGCTGTTTGGAATTTACTTGTACAAATGATCTTGAATCTAATTCTGTAATATCAGTTGGCCATTTGTAAGCAAGACCTAAGCCATTACCCTCTCTATGGCAGTCTTCTTACTTTAAACAGCTTTTGTAAATCCACTTCAATAGAGTAGTTTCTTGTTTCCCTCCCCCCACGCTGTACATATAAGCACAATTGTTGCACAGAGACCAGAGCTGGGACCGTTTCTGGAATCTTACTCTAAAATAATTTGTTTCCACTGTTTCATAGTGCCTTTTAATGATATTTAAATCAACACTTAAATATTTTACTTCTAATAAAAAGCTATCTTCAAAAAAGAGTATTTGTTCATTGTGAACCTTCATGGAACTTTTTATTCCTGACTTCATTTTTTAAAAAGTGGGGGAGGGAGTCAGGGGAAGAAACAGGAATTCTGCCATTTACTTCCAAAGGCCAAGAATACTTTACATTTCTCTTAAGTGATGATAATATTTCTTTTGCATTCTTGTCCCAGTCAGTGCTGTGAATAAGGCAGATACTTAATAGAAATCAGGATTTAATTGCTGAGAATATACTGCTAGTTAGTTAACAGTGTAAATGAAGACAAATCTCCTGATAGCAATTAACTTCCTTCTGATTTTACATTAAACTAAGTAAAACTAGAATTGGACAGTCAAGACAATGTGCAGTGAGTAAAACAGGAGGCCGTCATTGAAAGCCAAAGTAAAAATTAAATTTACAATAAAATGCATATTCAGTGTAACATAGGTGGCAGCAGCCATGTGCTTTCTCATGAAATCCTACCATTCACACTAAATATGGAAGATGTACAATTTTTTTTAATGTATTAGAACATTTAGGCATCTGCCTCTTGTACTGTGAAGTATTTAGTCTGCAGTGAATGAAGCAATGCATGATCATGGCTTTAAATGATAGGATGATCACTCTGCCCAGCTGCATTTGTTCTCCAGTATTTTGTTTGGTGAACTCAGCATGGTTTTATGTATTGTCTACTTAAAGTGAGCTTTTTCTCCTTCAGTTTCTGCTTTAAAGCTATAGCTGCTCGTGAGGAATTGTGTATACCATCTTGTCATTTTAGTGCTTTTTTATCTGGGAGCCCCTCCCTCTTTTTGTCTTTGGGTCGATTGGGTGATGGTTGGTATTGTCTGCAAGGTTGGACAAGCATTCAAACAAACTCTTAACTGCTTTCTTTCTAAGCAATATACAAGCCTCAGGAACATTATTGTCATTAATAGTTGTCTTAAAACACTTTTATTTTCTTTAACATTTAGTTTTGTTGACCATGGCATAAACCAGGGGTCAGCAGTTCATGGTCTGGGAAGCCAAAGTGTTGGCAATGGGGGACTTTGCCTGTGCCACACCTCAGTAAGGTGGGAAGGATTTGGCAGCAGGGGGTTTTGCCCATGCCATGCTACAGCTGGGTAGTAGTGGCAGATATGCCGGAGACATGGTAGATGTGGCCAGGTCCTAGTGTTAGCTTGCTTTGTACCTGAGCAGAGTCATTCTAGCCCACCACCAGAAAGTGCTGCCGACCGCTGGCTAAGCCATTAGCATGCTGTAATTAGGATATTCCAGATTTCAGTTTTCTGTATAGCAGTCTGTCTACTTCAGTTGGTTAGTGATTAATTTATAATGTGAAAACCAATATTATTTCTTCCCAGATTTTATGTGGGAAAGAGATTCCACGGTGGGTGAATCGCCTTGCCTACTTCAGCTCTTGTATACCATTTCTCCAAAGCTGCCTGCCGAAGGAATGGCTGACTCCTGCAGCACTGCAATCTAGTGTAAGCCAGGAGCTGGAGGATGATCTGGAGGAAGCAGAGGATGCAGCAGCATCAGCTGTCCTGTCAAGCTCAGCATCTGGGTCTAGAACTGGACGTCATGCCAGACCATAAATCTTTCCTCGAAGTAACAGATGGGTCAAAACATTTGTTTTAATATCTCCAGCACCTGACGTCGTTACAGAACATCAGAGAGCTGATTCTGAACATTCCTTTTGTATGCAAAAAAGGCTCTCTCCAATTCTTGTTATTTCAGCTCAGGATTATATATGCAGTGAAACGAATCGCTGGGAGAAAGGGGAAGGATCTTGTGTGAAGCCACCCTTTTCATTTTCACCTAGTTGGCAAAACTTGGATTTACATAGCAGATCTTATATAAAACAAAACTTAAGTTATTTGTTTACAGTATTGTGTACTGCTGTTTACAAGTCCTGTATGGACTCCTGCCACCATGAAAGAAGAGAAATTCAGAGCTCAGTTCATCCCTGGTGCAACCCAAATCCAAAGCAGTGGAGTCATGCTGGGGATAAATTTTGCCCGAAGTCTTCATGATTTAGGCAGGCAAACTTTCAACTTCTGATGGTTGCCAGAAATTGCTGAACACTATGTCTGTGAACAGGGTACTATATACTTAAAGGGGCTAAGATAAAGAGATAGAATGTAGGCTATAGGGAGACTGGCTTTATGAGTAACTGAGATGTTACTTAAAGTATGACCTCTATGTTAACTAAATTGTAGGTTTTTGCACATATGGAAGGAAGTTTATATTTCATTACGTGATGCATTTACCCCTGCACACTCATTTCTTAGTTTTAATAGATGCTACACCACCTTCCTCCATTAAATCTTGTTTGAAGCAGGCATATAGAAAGTCATTTTGACTGTCACCCATTTGAACAAAATCATTAAATTGCACTGCTTAGTTTATTTAACTTTATTTCAATTAAATAAGTTGATACTTTGAGTTGCTTTATAGATTCCCTTTCTTTCATTCATGTACCACAGAAACAATGTAATACAAGACCTGGTTAGGGGTTGGGAAAGGCAATACTCCTTGTATTCACAGTTCTGCTTGAGCTTTTTGTAATAATCCCTACCTCCTAAAAACAAAATGCAGATTCTTGTACAACTGCAAAAATATTAGAGAATATTTGCTTTTCTGTATCTCCATCTATGGCATTAACTTTTTTGTCAAATGCAGTGAAAGCAAGAAACATGAAGGTTACATATGCACGTCCATATTTACACAGCAGAACCCTACACATCTACAAATTATCATTATGCTTCTCAGGCTAGCAGATCCAAGATTTCATTATTTTGGAAAATATGACAGTTTGGTGGTACATGATTATAATTGGAGAATAATATGAAATGCCTTACTCTTGTACAGTTCACCTACAGGTTTTTTAGAATTAAATAGTAACTTTACAACGGCTCTTCTAGTCATCTATACAGATGTGGTAAGGTTCTGCTGTGCCTATAAAACCATAATAGCACAAACCCGGGAGCGAGCTTCTGATTTTT